TTCATTCAAAATATATACTGTATTTGTGTGTATTTATATATACATAATAAATATACACAATACACATACATGTATAATGTAAACAAACACTTTAATTTTGGATGCGATTAATCACGATTAATCGTTTGACAGCACTAATATATATATATATTATTAGACACGTTTATATTGTTTTTTTATATATGTTATATTGTTGTAAAATCTTATCACACAACTAATATGCTAAATGCTATAAGTCATGTTATAATATATGATGGTATTTTCTTGTAACGCTGCTTAATGAAGCTCTTAAGTAATAGACGAGTCTCTTCTGCAATAAGCTATTTGTTTTAATTTTTTTAATCTCATAGCCAAATCTGTATTATTTTAGAGTATTAATAATCATGATTGCAAATGAAAAATGTGTATATTTGGATGTTGGTCTAACTCATACCATGAAGTCGATGTTATTATCTTCATTCTTGAAATGCTCCATGAGTTTCTCAAACCGCTGATCTTCTGAACACACCTGCGAAGCAATAAAGACATGCGGTGAGAGAGAACATTCAAATAATGCCCAGAGAAAATGAAAATTAGATTTTGATGCCAGCAGAATCTCTTTTTGCCTCTAATAAGATTTTTTTTTGATATTTCAAAAACAACTTGATGCAGTAGTTCATTTGTTTTCATCCCCTTAGGAAATAATACTAGCTTGATCTCTCCTCCCCAGACCCAACAGATACAAATACATTCAGAAGCTCTTGTGATCCTCTAAAAAAACAAATCAATAACAATGTGTTTAGCAGGTGTTTGTCTAAACCTATTTACTTTATTTATTACATTATCCGTTGTCATGTCTCGTACAGCTTTTAAACTGAAAACAGTGCTCCTGTAATTCATTATCTGAAACGGTGTTAAGTTAAGGTTTTGGGTTTTGTATCATTTTTTTTTTTTTAAAGAACTACAATATGAACTACAGCATTTGTGTGTATGTACCTCTTTAAAATGATCAAAAGCAGAGAGAATGATCTCATGACCTCCTCGAACCAGACACACGGCAGCCAGCAGCTCCAGCACCAGAGCTTTAGTCCTGCAATATCACACAAATCAAATCCATTTAGACATGATTAGGGAGGCTATTACTGCACATTTTGGGAGAAAACTTTCTTTTTTGCATTTACACAACAGTTCAGTTCAAAGGTTTGGAACGACGGAATCAATTACAGGAATGAATTACTAAAATTATTATTGAATTATTGAATTATTTTAAAATATATTCAAATAGAAAACAGTTGTTTTTAATTGTAATAATATTTCACAATATTACTGTTTTTACTGTATTTCTGATCAAATAAATCAAGGATTCAAGATTCAAAGCGTTTATTGTCATATGCCCAGTGAGGAAAACAAGTTTCCCTGAGCCATGAAATTCTTACTTTGCTGTCCACAATGAATGCCAAGACAAAATAGCAAAACTATACACACACATACACAAACTATACACACATACATACATATAATGTAAGAAACATAATAATAAGAACTATGCTGCAGTAGTAGGAATATAGACTATGAAAATAGAAATAGACTATGTGTATCTATATATGCGAGTATAGAGTAGAAATATAGAATGTGAAAAATAGAATATAGACTATGTATATGGTACATATATGCAAATGTACAGTATTAAAATGCAGCTTTGGTGAGCATAAGAGACAAAATAATCAACATTTCCTCAACATTTACACAGATGGAGTAAAGAACCCCTCCAACCGCACACTGAGATTAAGGGGCCTGTTGTTGTAGCTGCCAGTATTTATGACTCTGAAAGAGGAGTCACAACCCACATGAATTAAAGCGGTGGATTCTGGGAAAGTGCCCCCTCTTTCAGAGATACACACACACATTTACTCCAGCTCAATGGGTTACCTGGGATTCTTATTGTTCAGACTTAGTGCAATTTCATTCACAGCATGAGGGTGAGACATGACCATGTTGAAGCCATACTGAGAGGCTTCGCTGTTTTAAAAAAAAAAAATATATATATATATATATATTATTAATGTCAACAGGTTTGTTTGTGTTAGAGGTTGGATTTAACAAAGTCCCACCAGGACAATTTTTTTGTGTAATTCTTTTTTGCTATCAAAAATTTTGGGGGAATTTTTTTTTTTTTTTTATATAATTAGGAGACCACATTTGACAAATTACCTATGAAACTAGTCAAAAAACAATGCAGATTTGTATTTTTTTTTGTCTTATCAAATTCTAACATTTAAACAAAATTTGTGTTAATTTTTTATGCATATATTTATACAAATGAAATTGTGCTTTAATAATTTTTTAAGGCAGGATTAGTATTTAGGTACAACAGAAATTCAGTATTACATACTATACAGAAATTCCAGTATTACAGTAATTACTACAGTAATTCAAAAGTTTTCAGTCAAACGTTAAATAAAACACTGCATAGTCTTTGCACTTAATACTTAACACATCCAGCATGCCCCACAATTTTTTTTAAATTCATGCATGATTGTTTATCACACTAATTTGTCAATTAAGAAAAACAAAAAGCGGCATTTTGTTGATTTTGAATTGTGTTGTGTGATCTGGAAGGACTGGAAAGTCTATGAGAAGCTCTATGAGTGTTTACCTGGTAGTTCATGATGGCTCGTAGGCACATGATGCACACATGAACGTCGTCTTTCTTACATACTAATCTGGAATTCTTCAACGTCCTCCGGCTGGGTAATGTATTAGACCTGAGAGCAAAACAACAACTGAAGTTTACTAACCAATGAAATCAATAGTTCATCCAACATATGGAAATACTGTCATCATTTATTCACCCTCATGTTGTTCCAAACCCATTTGATTCTAGTTCTTCTGTGGAACACAGGAGATAATTCACAGAATGTCTGAGCTGTTCACATTAACTTTCACATGGAAAAGGGCAGCTTGGACATTCTGCCAAATATTGTTTTCCACAGAAGAAATAAAGTTGTACAGGTTTGGAACAACATGAGGATGGTGTTTTAACTATAGCATACACTAATCGATCAAAAGTTTGGGATCTGTAAGATTTTTTAATGGTTTTGAAAGAAGTGTCTTATGTTCACCAAGGATGCATTTATTTGATCAAAAATACAGTAAAAATAGAAATCTAATTTTATTACAATTTAAAATACTTGTTTTATTTTTAATGTATTTTTTTCCTATGATGGCAAATATCAACAGCAGCATCATTGACATGCATGCCAGCCAACGGGCCCAAGCCAAAGGATTTTATGTGTGAGAACAGAGACGCACAGCAACATATGCACACAAAGAACACACACACACACACACAAGCAGTTATAAAATAGATGCACACTCTTACCGATCGACAAGGGCATACAAACACACAAGACGAAAAAAACCAAAAAAAATAGAGAAACATAGGCTCGCAAAGAGACTAGAAAATGTTTACACACACAAACTAACACAAAGGGCACACAGTTCTTTTTAAGACTGTCACAAGACGAGCTGGGCGTGATTTTCTGAAAACACACACACACACACACACACACACATAATGCAATATGTCAGCAGCAGTGCCTGGGGGAATGGTTTGTGCTCAGTGCTGAGAACTCATTCAGCAACACAAACAGGAACATGAACACACTCATATCTGCACTAAAGGTGTGTATTGTCTATGATAATACAGTAGTGTGACTGTTTTTTTTTAACAATGTGGAAGCATCAAGTAGCCTATGTCATTCACTTTGCAAAAAATAAACAAAAACACATTCGCTTTCACTGGATGATGTAGCCTGAAGCAGTTCATATAATGCAGTATATCGTATAATGATATACTTCATATATCATATGATGTACGAGATAGTTAAGCAAAAGACAATCAAGTCTGCTGTTTTTCCTGTATATCAGCATGATTGCAAATGCGATTTTATACAACAGTTCAATAAACAAGAAGCTAATATTGTGAGTTAATCTGCTTTTTGCTCTATTTCGCCAAAACAGAAATTATTCCAAACAAAGTCAACAGAGCTGTTGTGCGTCAGCAGAGGTGTTTTGTTTCTGAATGAATCAATCATTCATTGATCCATTCATGAAGAAAGTCAACTGCTTCGTTCCTGAATCAATTAGCCATTTGAACGAATCAGCTGAATGAATGACTCAATGACTCACTCGTTAATACAGTGAACTGCCACCTACTGGTGGTTTTAGTTTCATATTTAAAATACCATTTCATAAAATAATTTCATATTCCTATATTCAAAATTGTATTTATAAAACAATATTTTAATATATCTAAATATTGCTTATGCGGTGCATGCTGATTTTATTTTGATTAGTAACAGCTGTCTTATTCTAATTGAATTTATTGATTAAATTTAAGAATTTGCCAGTAAATATGATGCATAAATTTAATACGGTTAGAAAAAAAAATGCCCTTAAAAAGGTAAAACTGCCCCTGGAAATCAATTTAAGGTGTCAAATAGTGGCCTTAATGAAAAAGTTCATTGCTGTCACTACTGTGAATTGACCACCACACAAAATATGAGGAATATGAAAAGCTTCGCAAGTCGCATGTCCTTGACAGGCTTAAAGCAGCCAAGTTACCAGCATAAAAACACATTTAGTGAAATATTACTCAATTATCAAAATCCCAGAAAATATCGAGATATCATTTTTTGTCAATATCACACACCCCTAGCCTCCACTGATTACTAGGAGAATTCCACAGCTGCGTCATCGCTGTGATGTGGTTTGTCTTTCAACTCTGACATGAGTGGGAATGATTACATGTGAATGTGTTCACAAGGTGGTTGTCTGCTAAAATCTCATTTGACTTGTAACTTCCGATCTCTTTTGTCCAGAACATCACAAAGACCCAGAAGCCATTGCGGAGAGTACTGCATCGCATGTGTGTAATGTCTTCGTCATACTGTATATCCGGATGTGTGACTGTGCTCATCCAGAACACAATATTCCTGACTCGTATCTGTCAGGTGATTTCACAAGCACACACGTTTAAACACATCCTCTGTGAAGTTGCAAAAGTTGACGCTTCAAGCTACGTTTTATGTTAAGAGAACAGAAAGTAATTTTGTTTTGTATGTCAGTTTGAAAAAAATAAAATTACAAAGAAATTACACATATAAATGTAATATTTCAAATATTTGGGGTTTAGAAATGGGATGCTTACATAAAATGTGAAGTTTTGTTAAAATATTTAAAATAATTAATCTGAACAAACTTTATTTTAGCTTTTAAGGCCCTGCATTTGTTATTTGGGGCTTAAAAGACTCAGTGAATTGCATCAATTTAACTCTACTTCTAATAACTATCAAACAAGATCACTGAATGTCTGAATTCAATTGAGCTCAATAATGCCACTATACTGTCTTCTGTAGAGCTGCTTTATAATTAAAATTGAAGCCATTTATTTCCTATGTGTATTTTGGTATCTGAATTTGTCATATTTTTTGGCTAAAACCTTAACTTCGGTAACACTTTCTATGAAGCCTGCATTATACTGCATGCATAATGCCTTAAAAAGTTTAATCGCATGAATAATCATAACAAACATTATAATACTTACATATTTATGGTAATAATTTATGATGAAGCATGATGATTTATGACACATGATGAACAACATGTTACAGCATATTTACCTAAATTATAATGTATCGTATGTCTCATATCTTGAGCATTGTTTAAGATCTACACAATATCCTACTATATCTTATAAGATGTCTTATAGTAAACATACAGTACAAAAAGCTTTATAATGTGGTCATTACATTTATAAGTGGCCTTTGTCTGTTTTATTGTATTATCAACAAAACCATATTGCATTGTTTGAGATGTAAACGGGTTACTAGTGAGCTTAAACTAGTTAACTCTGAAATTCACATTAGTTTCACTGGTAACACTCAACACTCAACTAACAACTCATAAGACGCAGGAAGATTCTGAGCAGACCTTGAATAAACAATGGCAAGATTCGAGACTTATAATAACTTAATATATAATAATCCATTATAACGCACGTGGATATAACATGGTGTTCATCATCTTATAATTGTCATAAAGTTATATTAGAAACAGTAGATATCAATAGTCAACTCAATAGCTCATTAGTCAAGCACTATACTATTTTATTTCATGTCTACAGAATTCTATAAGAATCTACAAAAAATTTTAGCTAAACTTAAACAGTAAACACAGCAGACATACCCTTGTTTCTCTGAGCATTTTGGGCATTGTGGATGAGTCTGTGTTCTTCAGGAGGGCGTTTTGGGAAATCTGAGAATTATTCTTTTAAAATTTAACACAGCACACAATTTAAGCCTACAAATGACTAAGAGCCGAGGGAAAGCACGGGAACAAAACTACTGCATGTGGGCAGAATCTATGCAATCACACCACTGGATGTACAGTTTACAGAGCTGAGAAATTCATAAATCCATTGCACAGCAGAATGATCTGAATAAACAACTGAAAATAACAAGTAAATGAGTGATTGTGCCTGACAAAAGACATGAGGGCAAGTTACATCTGAGGCTGCAGGTACACAGCTAGCTCTAAATCTAAATCTAAATCTAACCTCCGTAATTCAGCACATTAGAGAGACATGGAGGGGAGAGGAGAGGACACTATCTAAAGGACAAAAAGAACATGCCTTGTGCTGCAGATGGGAACACACAACAGGAAACTGCAATCACACCACTGGATGTACAGTTTACAGAGCTGAGAAATTCATAAATCCATTGCACAGCAGAATGATCTGAATAAACAACTGAAAATAACAAGTAAATGAGTGATTGTGCCTGACAAAAGACATGAGGGCAAGTTACATCTGAGGCTGCAGGTACACAGCTAGCTCTAAATCTAAATCTAAATCTAACCTCCGTAATTCAGCACATTAGAGAGACATGGAGGGGAGAGGAGAGGACACTCTATCTAAAGGACAAAAAGAACATGCCTTGTGCTGCAGATGGGAACACACAACAGGAAACTGCAGACAGAGTGACAACTGCATTAATTACACAGATACATTTAACAGAACCTGAAATCTAGCACAACGATCAAACCAAAGTGTGTTTTATTCATTTGAAGGTACACGGAATTAATAAAGCTGTACACCTAAAGAAATTAATAGCACGTATGAATATAATGTTTTATTTTTCATAAAGGCCCATTCAGACCAAGAAAGATTACTATAACTACAGTTATATCTTCTGCCACTTTTTAAAGTTAGATGGATTCATTGGCTGTCTCTGTTTTCAAAAACATAGACCAAAAGAAAAAAAGCTGAAAAGGATTCCAACAATATTGTTTCTCTACATTGTTATTGTTATCAGGGTTAAAGTTAAATAAAACTAAAACTTAAACCACTGAAAAAAGGTTGCTTGAAATCAAATCAATCTTAACTTATATAGTCTATAAACATTTTTTCAAAATATATTTTATTTTAGTTAGTTGCCAAGGAAGCGTTTCTCATTTCCAATTAGTTTAACTTGACGTAATAAAATAATTAAAATTGAAACTGAAAAAAAAAAAATATATATATAAAAACTATATAGACTTTCTAAAGTGCCACTATTATGCCATTTGTAAGGTTCCTAATATTGTTTTGGGAGCCTCCTGCAATAAGTTTACATGCATGCAAAGTCAAAAAAAAAAAAAACGCTTTCGTTTTCTCAAATAATACATTTAATATCACCTCATTTTCCAGCGATTCTCAAACTAT